AGATCCAGGGAAGGAGGCCGGCAGCCCTGCTCCTGGGGAGCTTTTTCTGCAGGCTCTGCATAAAGCATGTAACTGTGTAATCACTGAGGTTTTCAGCAGTTACACTGTCACCTATTTAACCGAGTTTAACATCCCTAGTAAGTGGTAAAACTCTTCAGCATAACTAATAGCGTAATTTAGGCTGATAATGAACCAGCAGATGTTTCCAGCAAGAACTCTGAGCATGGGTCGATCTTCATAAAAGGGGAATAAAGGCTGGTAGAGGGGACCCAAACAACAATTAGCTCCCTGCAAACTCCTTTAGCCACCCAGAACCATCCTTTAATAGAAAACAAAACCACTGTTTTATAAAGTTACTCTTTATTTAAAATTTTAATCTGTCCCGTTCTCTACTCCTGCCCCCGCTTCAAACAATTCTTGAAACATTAGCACTCGCACATGACAGCTTTTGATGCACTTTGCTGTGTCTGCAGCAAGGCAGTGCAAACGATTGTCTCTGCAAAATGATCCACAAGAAAAGCCAAGAAGGGCCTGGCCACATGAAGATTGATACCTGGAATCTCCTTCAGAAGTGCACTCTAAGAAAGTTCTATTTACTGCTGGTGGCTTTAAATACATCAGAAGGACAGGAGAGAAAGTTCCCTTTCAAAGGATATTTATTCAAGCTGAGAGCCAAGCTTTGTTGCCAGTTTTCTCAGAATAGACGTGGACTATAAGACTCCTCAGGGTCCACAATGCCTATGAGCAAGGCAAGAATTTAGCTTTTGGACTAGGAAGGTTGGGCGGTTAATCCATCAGCTCTGGAGCTGCACTGTTACCCCAACACTTGCCACGAACAGGAAAAACACAGCCAGTTCCGGCTGGATTTCAGTGCCATGGAAAATAAACACCAGTCTTTTCTCCTGGGCTGTCTCATGCTCGTTTCTGTGCTCGCTCATCCTGTTAAGACAGAGAAAGTGACTGTAGATACTCCACGCCTCAGTCACGGGACTGTAAACAAGCTATATCCAACAGGCATCATCAGTACAGCGGAATTTGACACATTTTCTTTCCCTTCTCAATTACTTCTCTGACACTCCTAACAGTCCAGAACTGGCTACCAAACCCATCTGTTTTGCTGGACATCAATCTCTTGACTCTAAGTTTTAGGACTCTCTACAAAAGTGCTAGAGCAGGAGCTACCCTTCCCCTACCCTCAAATCAGTTACAATGTGAGACTGCTCTTATGCTTAACCGATTTTATTTTCATCTTATCTAATGGAGGGTCAGCAAATGCAACCATTTTCCTTGGATGATCAAAACACAGCCACGCAATTTACAAATTCTGATCTGGCAGAGGGTTCAGTCTCTGCATATGGATATTCTGTCTTCCTCCCCCCAGCCCTCAAACCCCCCAGAGAAAATCAACAGGTCTGCAGTAAGATAAGTAGTGCCTGCTGTGCTTTTAACACAGGGTCCCTCTCTCCTCTATGGCTCCACCTTACATATGAGCATTCTATCATGGGGGATGGTACAATTCTGATGTTGTATTCAGGGAACGTAGCATCTCAGCAGTTTAGACTCTGAACACTCGCGGATGTTAAGTCTGCTGTGTGCGGCAGCTGAATTTCACACTGCAGCTCTAGTGGTGTGGTTACCTTAACAGTTTTCTGAAGCTTGGACAGTGCCTCCTCATACTGCTGCAACAGGGGCTTTAAGTATTCGCTCTTCACCAGCTGCTTCTCTAGTTCTGGGGAGCCAGCATCCCTCAGCATCTTCAAAAACTTCCATTCCTGCGCCGCAAACAGACACAGGAAATTAAGGGGAGAAGGAGAGTCAGGGAAATGGGTGCTGCTCCCTGTATCTTTTCATCACAATTGTCAGACCATGAGCCTGCGAAGCGAGCGAGTCTGGAAGGCTCCATCTAGCTGGGAAACTGCTAGAGAATAAAATTCACAACTAAATGTAAGTTCAATTCTGAGAACACTTAACTTTCATGCTTAAAACCTGGGCTTGTATTCTCCCCAAAGACCTGAAGAACTCACATATGAAGCCTGGAATGTAACACAGTTTTTAAGTTAGCAGGAACCCTGGGTTCATTTTCAGTACTGGATGTGGAAACTTAGACATATTGCTTTCCCCTGTGTGACACTGAAGGCATATCTAAGAATTCTTACTCAATACAGACAACCAAGGACATTTCCATAACCAATGAAGAGAGCATATAAGTAGTCTATGGAAAACATATGAGTGTGTTGTACAGACACCACTGAAGGGGCAGGTCCCAGGCACAGAATTGAACTGCAGGTCAACTGTGACTACAGGGAGGGAAATTAACTAACCCCTCCCTCCTCACCACTTTGCAGTGCTTCTCGTCAGAACTGCTGCTACCGTGAGGACGTACCTGCACTCTCAAAAGCATGGTGAATGCTAACCCCGCCTTCCCAGCCCCAGCTGTTCTTCCAACTCTGAAATCAGATAAAGGAGGCCAGCCTCAACATCAATGTAGCTGTCCCGCTGCAGCACTTGCCTTCCCACCGTGCCCCAGCATGTCACACCATCGAGTTCTTAAAACCCGAAGAGGACTATTCAGTTTATGCCCATCAGAAATGTAAAAATGTGGATAAAAACATAACAATGTAGCTGTTAAAAATCCTAGCGCTTACAGGCTCTGCAGCATACAAAGTGAAGCCTCCTCCACAGAAGCAGGAGCTAGCAACCCCTGTTCTTAGGGAGGAGGCTTCGCTCCAGCAATAAAGCCACTTCCCTTGGAGGGAGATCAGCAGGGGCTGCTGCCAGCCCTGCTCCCAGGGAGTCAGCGTGTAACCTGTGGTGGGGGAAGAGGGGAGCCCAGGGCCGGCCCACAACATTTTGGCACCTGAGGTGGGAAGTTCAAATGATGCCCCCTCACTTGGGCCAAAACTTTGAAAAGTCTCAATTCTGCCTCCTTCCTGGTCTACTCCTCCTTCTCTGCGCATCTAGGGCAGATAGAACACGTATGCACCAGCACCAGACACAATTTTCTACACTCTGGGTTCTAGTGGCACCCCCCCCCCACACAGTCTGGCACCTGAGGTGGCCGCCTCAGTTTGCCTCATGGTAAGGCCGGCCCTGGGGAAGCTGGCTGCCCTGCCACAGGAAAATGATCCAGCCACTACTAGTTAACTGGAACCAGTAAGCCTCACCTGGTAAGGGTGAGGTTAACTGGTTAACATTTTACATCCCTAATGTCTAGAGTGTAAGCAAGGTTGTGCAGAAACACAAAAGATTAACATGTCAGGGCTGAATCTCTAGAAGTGCTCACCCTACAGCCCACATTGATTTCATCTAGAGTTGGGGCCCTTGGCCATCAGTATTTGCAACCATCCAGGGTAATACCCACTTCTCCTACAAATCAGGCCTGGTAATAGAAGCATCCCTACTTTATACTGGCCTCATGTGATTACAAAGGCTCTAAAGGTTTAAGTTTGATCAAACAACTGCTTTCATATTAAGCTAACAGATCTATTGCAATGGAATTAAAATAACTTTTCATGCCTCATAATTTGTATACATGGAAAGAATGCTTAAATATCTAAAAAGTTAGATCCAGATTTAAACCTCTCTCTTTTGAATTCAGTTCTCTGTATCTCTCATCCACTCACCGGTGAATGTAAGTCCTGATGAACTGAGGGGCATCATAGTTTATCACACACTTCACTCCTTTAATGTCAATCCCTCGTGCAGTTGCGTCTGTGCTGATCAACCTGTTTTATACGTTTTAAAGAAAAAACAAACTAGTTGCGTTCATTTCCAGGTCTGTTGCGTTGCGTAAAGCAATTGCTCAACGACACTGCAAGTTTTGATAACTGGATATTGAGCAGCTCCCAATGTGACTCTCTCTCACCAACTAACCAAACAATACAGAGTGCTGGGTCTTTAGAGCATAAGATTGCACCATGAATCACATCAAAGATATATTAGCTGTCCTAGCTGTATTAGATACCTGCAGGGAAAATCCATTCCAGCCATCTGATATGTACTTTTGGAGGTTTCTTTACTATTGAAATAAACCTTGACACCATTGGCGTGCCCAGGTTTGGTAGACACAAATGCATTAGCAGCACTACATGTGGAATTTTTAGCCAGGTGACTCCTATCAAGTGGGAGTTAAATGCACACTAACCATATTGAAAATGCACCCTAGTGTTCATACTCAAAGCATTCAAGATAGAACATCTGAACAGTCAGTGCAAAGTGTGGTTTGCATGAAAAATGAATTGTCCAGTGGCACCTTAGAGACTAACTAGTATCATGAGCTGATGAAATGGGTTTTACCTATGAAAGATGAGCTTATGATACTATATATTTTTGTTAGTTTCTAAGGTGCCACGGGACTACACACTGTTTTTAAAAGTTACAGACTAACATGGCTACCCTTCAGACTTTTTTGCACAAAAAATAATCATTTTAATATGGTTTACCCTTTCATGAAAAGTTCTCACGGACTCTTATCAAGCTGTAAGTACTCAGTGCCCTCATCAGTATTAAAAGGAAGCACTAGAAGGGTAAGTGATATACCCCATGTCAGAGCCAATCAATGAAAGCTGGGAATAAAAATCTAGATAGCCAACATAGCAGGTTCTTGCTGTTAGATTACATTACTTCTGTTCAACATGACGCCTGTACTAAAGTGACATCCATTTTCTATTATATGCCAATAAACACCTGATCTGCAGAAAGACTCAGATTTTCAGAATTACATGTGCAATTTGTGCATTCACGGCACTGCACATAAGACAAATGGAGCTAGATTCTAAGTGGCTATCTGCACAAACAAGTAGCTCAGCTGTACAAAAAACTGCAGTAAATATACACACACAAATGAATCAACATCTGCACAATTTACACTATGGCTATAGTGCAGAGTGCAGCTGAGTCACTGTAGTGCTACTAGAGCAGATGCTCTAGACTGATAGGAGAGGCATTTCCACTCAGAATTTTTTCAGCCCCTACAAGCAGTGGTAGCTACATCAGCAGAAGTTCTCCCATCAGAGTAACACAGTCTAAATCAGTGCTTATGTCAGTTACTCACATTGTGCAGGGTGGGTGCTTGCTCACATCCCTGAACAACATATTTTACACAGACAAACTGTTGTGTGTATATAGCTTATACTTCCCACTGAGTTCACATGTTGGATTTTGTAAGCTGATGAGTTGGTTTCATTACATTTATGTTTCTATCACTACACAAAGTAGCATGGGCCAGGATTAAACCACAAACTCTCACACATGCACACACTCATCTAAGACACTCACAACTGTATCTTCCCCTGCTCAAACTCCTTCAGGGTCCTCTGTCTTTCACTTGGCGTCAGCCAGGAAGAGAACTCAGCTACTTTCACTCCACCAAAGGCTTGAATCAGTAAGAACAACCTATTTGGAAATGGGTGAGGGGATAAAACAGAACCATGAATTGACTCAATTGATTCAGAGAGGCTCACCTAGTAAAAGAGGTTCACCAATCAATGAACTCACCTGTGGGAAGCCTGCTTGGAGTTGGTAAAACACAGCACCCGGGTGAATTTCATTCTCAGCATGAAATACAAGAGGAACAAAGGCTTCGAATTCAGGTTACATGGTATATAATATTGCTGCAGGGGACAGAGAAGAAACAGTCTATTCTAAAAATGCTGCTTCTCACATGGACTTTTCTCCCAAACCTATTTGTCTGGACTTCTAACTTTGTACAATATTTCCTCAAATCCATCCAGTATTATAGACAACTGATAGCGCCATCTCCGTTGGGATAAGTCATGCAGGGAAGGTAGCATGGTCTCATGGATACTCCACGGGATTGAGGTAGGAGACCTGTGTTCCAGTCTTGTCTCTGACACTGATGCATGGTGCAGCCCCAGGCAAAATAAAGCTGCCTCAATTTCCCGATCTCTAAAAGATAATGGTGGGTATTTGCCTTTGCTACCTACTTTGTGTCTACATCTGGAACGTGTGATTATATATTACTTCTATTATTGCAACCCGTGTGTTGGTGGGTTTCTTCTTCGTCTTTTGAGGGAGTATGTATGTAAAAAAGCCCCGTTCTGAGCGGAGAGACACGTGGAGATCCCTCAACAGATACATGTATGTAGAGCTACATAAGGAGGACCTATCTGCTCCCTTAAGCGTTTCTCCTCCCAATCCTCAATAATGCAAGATTGCGAGGGGAAGAAATGGGTTATATTCAAGGGATAAAATTAAGGGAAAACATAACCATATTTCCAGAAGTAGATCAAGCTGCTTTGGGTCTTGTGTTCTACAGATATAATCTATTCAAGCTCCTTCCGTCATGGAAAGCTGCCCAGCAAGGCACCTTCTGTGGCTATAAGAGGATAAATGACCGTACCGAAAGCCCCTCAGGCAAGGAGTATTTCTTCTCAGCATCCTGTTCTGTGTCTGTCCCAGCTGCGATGGCTTGTTTCTCAGAGTAGACAGATGTGAAGAGGCGAGGCTGGTACAAGCCCAGCTGCTGCAGTTTCTCTGGATTCCGAGTCAGTGTGGCGGAGAACAGCAACTTCTGCAGTGGTATCTGGGGACAGCAGGTGCTGAAACAAACAGAGCACAGGTACTGAGCATCAGGGCAGCTGGAAGAAATGTCACATTCACTCCTCCCCTCTATTGTAAAAACAGCCAAGGTGGGTCAAGTCCATCTATCCCAGTAGTCTGTCTGCCCACAGTGACCAATGTCAAGTGATCACTCCTCTGTCGCCCATTCCCATCCTCTGATAAACAAAGGCTCGGGATACCATCCCTACCCATCCTGGCTAAGAATCATCAATAAGCCTACGCTCCATGAACTTATCTAGTTCTTGTTTGAATCTTTTATAGTCTTGACCATTCACAATATCCTCTGGCAAGGAGTTCCATAGGTTGGCTGCATTGTGTGAATAAATACTTCCTTTTGTTTCTTTTTAAACCTGCTTCAATTAATTATATTGTGGGCCCCTAGCTCTTACGTTATGAAAAGGAGTAAATAACACTTCCTTATTCAGTTTCTCCACACCAGTTATAATGTTATAGACCTCTACCACATCCCCCCTTAGTCATCTCATTTCCCAGCCGAATAGGCCCAATCTTCTTAAACTCTCCTCACATGGCAGCCCTTCCATATCCCTAGTGGTTTTTGCTGCCCTTTTCTGAATCTTTTCCAATTCTAATATTTTTTTTGAGATGAGGTGACCACATTTGCACACAGAACTCGAAAGGTATGTGTGCATCATGGACTTGTCCAGAAGTAATATGATATTTTCCGTTTTAATTTCTATCCCTTTAATGATTCCCAACATTCTGTTCACTACCATCATCTGAAAATCTTGAAGTAATTAACTCTTCCTGGAAGTCTCTTCCTGACCCAAACCCCTTTCTGAAAGTCACTTTGCAACCTCCTGCCTCTTTGAGCTTGCTTATATAGATAAAGCTATAATTAGTTAATATCAACTAAAAAACCCCATGTAAACTCCCCTTCTTCCCACAGTCCATATACCAGTTTCACAAAGGACCAGGCAAACTTCGTGTTCTCACCTTGCTCCTAACCCCTACCGCCAACAGGAGAAAATTGGTGGAGGTGTTATTGTTTTAACCCCGTTCTGGGCAAGTAATGTGCCTGTATGAATTCTGTGAAAGGACTGCTCAGATGTGTTTCAGCCAACATTTGGTCAATCTCTTCATAGGGGAGCTGTGATAGTTATGGTGTTCAAAATATAGCATTTGGTCCTTAAAAGTTCTGTGCTTTTTTGCTTATTTAATGCCACCCCAATCTGGCTGGGGAAAGGAAAAAAGTCGATCAACTTGGTAAAGTTTACTTCAAAAAGCATGGATCAATTCCTAGCATCAACTCTTTGCCACCTGCATTTTCAAGCCATTGAAAAACATCAGACTTGATTAGTGGCATGTTTTCTAACAAAATGAATGTTAAAGTGTATGCAGTACTCCACATTCAAATGGAGTGGATAATAAAACACCAAGAATGAACAGAAGGATGATCTGGAATCTCTCTCTGTAGTTTGGATTCAGCAGAGGGCATTTTGCAAGTTACCTGGCTGCTGTTATGGATCCCGGTTCCGTCCTCTGGAAAAGCATGTTGGGGCCAGAGTTCTCTTCGGCTCGGAACACGGCTTTTACTACTTGATGCAACCAGTTCTGGTGCATGTCATCTATCATACGATCAGCTTCATCTATAATCTGCACCCAGATAGAAACAGCCTTGCTGTTAGGTTCTTTTAGGTGCTGTAGCTTTCCTTCTACATACATTAAAACTCACTCTTTTTAACAGGCAGCAGATAATATAATATAATGGAGATATACTAATCTCCTAGAACTGGAAGGGACCTTGAGAGGTCATTGAGTCCAGTCCCCTGCATTCACAGCAGGACCAAGTACCCAGGGCCGTCCTTAGGCATACACAGAGTACGCAGTTGCGGAGGACACCACAGTAGTTCTGGGGCACCATTCTGCCAAGAGAAACGGGAAGCAGTGAGCAGGCAACAGCAGGACTGCTGGGTCCTAGAGAGAGCTAAATGCACTGCCTGCAGCACAGTTCGAGGGAAGGGATTGGCAGCTGGGGGTCTCTGGGAAGGGGAGGAAATAGGGGCGGGGGAAGGAACTTACCTGTGTGACTCTCTCCCCTAGCGTAAGGTGAGGCAGGCTGGTTGGGCGGCTCTGTGGCAGTATCCTTTCTTCTTCCCTCCCCCCATGGAGCAGCCCCCCTTTCCCCCTCCCCCACGGAGCTCTCCCCCCTCCCTTCCAGCAGGGCTGGGTTGGGGGAGG